TACACGTCCCATGAGTAACGTAATCAGCTTCAATCCTCCATGCTTCCTTTCTCTACAATGCAATTTCATCTCACTTAAGTGGAAATGAGAACTTACTCAGCTTCTGCATCGTTTACCTGCCTTGATGACACCCTAAACTCTGAAGCCTGTTCCAGTCATGACTTAAACTTGGAAAACCAACTGTTTGCATTGCCTCCCCACAAAAACTACACTGTCCAAATCAAAAGGACCTTTCTAAGGTTTATCTGTGAAAATGGAGGATTTGTTGAAYGACTGGAGAAATTTGTTGAAGATGTTAAATTGTAAAAACGAACATAAGCTAAAATTTGCAAAGCACTAGCTGAAATGAGYAAAAGTGTAGCTAAAAGCTCACATTAGCAAAACTTTAGAAAATGCTAATATTAATAAAAACTATAGGCAAAAGCTGAAACGATCTAAACAGTGCCTAATTGGTAATCACAACAGTAACTGCAAACTAAATTTAGAAAAACASTAGTTACAAACCATAAATCAACAAAATAGTAACTAAAAGATAAAATGTGTATAACAGCTACAATCTAAAATKATAAAAATGATAGCTTAAAGCTAAAATGATTACATCAACCAAATGTTTAAATTACCAAAGCTACAAATTTAAAACTGGCAATATTGTAGCTATACGTTTAGATTAGTAAAGGAGTAATATCAATGTTTTACTCATTTAAACCTTTTTTAAACATATTCAGTGAAACAAAACAATATTGTATCAAGTTTTAAAAATAATAAAAGTCACAAATTCCAAAATTAATAGCACTCATTGGCTGACGGAGCTAAATATTTGATATTTAAATGATTAGATGCCAAAATACATAAAGAATAAACAGGAAAAAAATAGTGTGAATACTAATAAACCATTATTTAATTTAAGGAAGGAGCAGAGTTTTAGATTCATGATGTCAGATATCCACAGTTCATCAGAATAATAATAAAAAGCCCTGAAAAGAAGCTGAAAATTCAAACACACATGAAGAGATAATAAAGGTTAACTCTCTTTACCTCCCTGACATTATTATGTTTTTAAACCCACCAAAATATAATAAGTTCAAGAATATGAGATTTTAACTGCTGGTCACATCAGAATGGACCCCAGACAAATTTACAATATTAGGTTAGGGATATTGGAAGGTAAATGCTTTGCTCTGGTTAAAATTGAGGTCACCTTAAAGGTAACTTCAATTTTAAAGTAAATGTGAAATGCTGTGGGACAAAAACATACACAGATACTGCATAGTGGTAGCATACAGTATGACCGCTGCACATAAGTAAAGCACCAATGTGCCAGAACTCAGAAGCCTTCAGAATAGATTTAATGGGCCTCATGCAAGAACATGTTCGTATTGTTATCCTAAATTTCTCTTACTTTTGTTCATACAAAGAGTTCGTACGAACA